GTTTTAAACGTGTATCTTTTTATTACCGTTGAGTATTTTACTCTACAATCTTTAATTTTTGTTAAATTAACAAAAGGTAATATCACACAGCCACCCTAGATTTCTTCAAATAATAAAGATCTACTGACGTAAAATCATAAAAAATAAAATATCTAAGAAAATCTTTGTCTAAGGAGTTGGCAACCTTAATAATATTTTGAAGATATACAAATTCTCCACTGAACACCGGAAAAATATACTGGATGTTCCTTTTAAAATAAAGGAGTAACTTGCTTTTAAAAGTGGCTAATGTTCCATATTAATTTGGTTTCACTGTATAACTTTTCGAGTCAAATTTCAATTTGGTTTAACATACAATAGTTACTGTGAAAAATATCAGGCTATACAAGATCAACTAAAATTTAGGTAGCTGTAATCGAAATTTAAAATTTACACTTCGTTTTCAAAAATGTGAAATATGTCAAAATCCTTAGATTCTTTAATAAAAGTCACCTTTATTTTTTATTTGCTAGAATCCAAAAATCAATTAATATATAGGGCGTTCCGTTAGAAAAAAACACAACTTTGATGCCAAAATCTCATTTCGATATAAACTACCGTTCTCCTTGGAGCTTCCGCGGCGTATGAGAGGAGCCATCCTGTATAAGGTAGATTTTCAATCATTTAGCTGCGCATGAACAAATACAAATGCATTTTTAAATGGAACACCCCGTATTTTGATATATTATGATTTTAATTAAAATAAGTATTATTCATTTAACTTAATATTATGAATAATTGTACTGTTTTTAATTAATTACATTTGAAAATTGACATTTTCAGATTTTGAAAAGCAGTTCATATGCCTTATGAAAGATTTTTAAATAATGATATAAGAACATAGACACAACCTGGTTTGGCTGTTAATATTTAATGGTATAGACAAATCTAAAAAATACTAAAAAAATATAATTTTCAAACATGAATAATTCAAAAGTAATTGAATCAGTGTATGGTACGTTAAATGAAAAATTCCAAAAAAATTTGATTAGAATCAAATCAAAATTTTTTTTTAGAATCAATATCTGCTATGAGTTTCTCCATTTAAAACAATTCAATTTTGATCGGTTTTATCTTGTACTCTTTTGTATAAATATAAATGCGCCAAAAAACTACATAATAAATCCTAGAATATTTAATAAAAATATATATAGGGTGTTTCTTAATGATATAGCTGGGTTCACGAGGGAAATTATTGGTTAATTTTAAGAAAAAAAACTTCACAGGAAACTATTTCCTAAACATATCAACTTGATAACTGAGATACAGAGTGGACAAGGTTCCTAGAATCCTTTTGGCGGAAAATTAACTCAAGAGTCGCCTCTAAATCTCATTGAGGAACACTCTTATATCATAATATATTATTAAAAGTTAATTATACAGTATGTCCCCGGATTGTCTTTACAAGAGGAAAAACTTTTTTATTATTGATATTTTGAGAAAAATGCCTTCTTCATAAAAATTTTTGCTTGTTCTAAAATGGTTAATCCCGTTTATCCTTTTCCAAATTTCCATACCGTTTTAGAGAAAATTAAAAAAAAAACTGAAAATATGGTTGAATTTTTTGAAAGTCCTAAAAATCAAAACGCGTGTCTATGGTATTCGTTCTTTGTTGTTATTGATAGAATTTTAATTAACGTCATATTTTTTGCGTTTTACAATGATAAAGAAACACAAAATTTATTTAGTTCAATGCTACGGAAAGGTTACGTAATGGCTATCGGAAAATGTGATACCTTAACAATAGCAAAACATATGTCATTAATCAATATTAATAATACCCATCTATCAAAGAATGAAATCTAAATTATATTACCATAAAAACTCGTTTTCATTTTTTGGGCTTAGAAAAAATCAACGATATTTTCATGTTTATCATTTTCAAACGGGATTAACCATTTTAGAACAAGCAAAATTTTTTATTAGGAATGCATTTTTCTCAAAATATTAATAATAAATATGTTTTTCCTCTTGTAAAGACAATCCGGAGACATACTGTATATTAGTTATATATTATTACCATAACATATTAAAATGTTCCGCGAGGAAAATCCCGAACGTATTCTAAATGATATGATAGTCGGTCGCTTAGGGTTTCTAAACCGGGTGCCCGGTGTATATTTATCCCCTAAATACCGATATTAAATCCCGGGATTCCGAAAATGTCGAAAAGTTTTAATGCCCAATCGAAAATGATTCGAGTTAGTCTTTCAAATATCATATTTTATTTATACTAACAGCGCTTTCAGATGGAGCGGAGCGTCCGCGCGGACCGTCCGCCAGTTCCATGAATTTAATGAACATAATTTCACATGGGTCGCATATGCTCCGTCCGGATGAGCTATCTTGAAAAAACATCCGCGCGGACGGTCCGCTCCATCTGAAAGCGCTGTAAGACGAACGTCAATACCAAGTGTTATATTTCCGTGTTTGCTATATTTTTTTGCAACAAGATTTTTGTTTTTTTACTAACTACATATGGAATATTACTTTGTTTATTCTATTTTAATAAAGCTCTTTCCTCATTTTCTTTTTGATATATTATGTAGCTGCTTTTGTTAGATTTCTTTAGATTAAATTTCTCATTCTGATCCCCGCGATTCCGAGATTATAGGTTCTTATTCCGGGATTTTAAATAATTGGAAACTCTACTTACACTGAGTGAAAGTTTTTTTTTATATCGTTAGTTGTATTGGCTAAATATTTGTGAACAATGGGTTAGAAATACCGTTTGATCGAAAAAGTTGTTAATCCCGTTAAATCCCCCTGGGGAATAACAATAGTTGCTAGTTTTGGCGAGGTCAATCTCTAGACGCCAGTTTCTAAAAATTGACATAAAACTTATCAAAAATTAATACTAATTTTCTAACATCTAAAAAATGATTAAATGTTTCCAGACTCACAAATCTACTTCCAAAAAAATATTTTTTTCTCGAATTTCAAATTACATTATTAAAAAATAATTTTTACTAATACAAAAATAAATTACAACCTTCTTAAAGTCAATTGGCAGTAAGCGCCATGAAAAAATAAAGAATAGTACGGGCCAAGTAAATAGAGATCTAGGGCTTGACCTCGCTCATAATAATAATTATTGATTGTGATTCCCCAGCCGTCTTTGACACCGTTTTTTATTCGATCGTATGGAACGTTACGATTTTTTTCGGTAAATATGTGATAATATGATATAGCTGCTTGAACGAAAACAATGATTCCAAATAGCAATATGTAGCATCCACAAACACTAATTCTGAATCAGCGTACCTACACGGAAATTACTAAAAAGTTTATATTAAAAGGTTAATTGATAATTACTCACATTCGACAATAGTTGTGGAGTCCTTTTTACAGGAAGTTGAAATTTGTATATTTGTGGTATCTATATTACACACTTTTATGGTGCAAGGTATTTGTGGTAGCACAAATACACATTCTAAAATTATAATATTTGTGGAACAAGTTTCCACAATTAATAAATGCCAATAACTTTCTTACGGTGGAGTGTATAGACATATAAATTATATTTTTAGGTCGTGGACAGCGAGTTCGTATCATTTCGTACAAAAATAGAGATGATACCACAAATGTCTTTACTGCACGGATGTCACAAATATGGTCATGCGTGTATATGTGAACTACAATGTGTAAACGTAGCATATTTACATCGGGGGAATTGTGTCACCCTGTGTCTACATCTAATAATGTAAACACATCGTAAATGTAATTTGATGTGCTGTATGGGACGGGTCTTCCGTTATTACGGTGGTTCCGGTCTCCCTCTGAGTCGATATCTGAACCGTGAAATTTTTATAGACTTATTATGTTTCAATTGATAACGCGGCCAGTGGTTCCTGAAAATGCTTATACAGGGTGAGTCTTAAATAAGTGAAAATACCTTTAAGGGTGATATATTTCGACCGCAGGAACATGTCTATGAGTCTTTTTTCGCAAAAAAGATGTAGAAAATCGCGCATTATTTTTAAATTTTCCTGTATATTTTTGAAAACTTTTTAGAACTGCCTGTTCACCGCAAATTTACCAACGGTATAATCTTATAATTATTTCTTAACCTATCATGCTTACGGCTTTACTCTATGGCTACGACACTAAAATAATGGATGCCAGTACAGAAAAAAAAACAGGTGTCCCACAAAATTATTTAAAAATAAATTTCTTTTTAAATTTTCAAACTTGAATCACTCGGTTATTTTGGACTTATTTGGAAAACGGTAAAAAGAAAATATGTGTTTCTTTTGTCGAGATCTACCAACTCTGAAAATATTTGCACTTATCCAAGATTCACCCTGTAGAGTAATACCGCGTTTTTTATAACTATCTACTACTGATTGAGCCACGATTTTTTTGTTTGTCCTTTTGCATATGGCTTTTTAAATAAATAGACATGACATTCCACCGAGCATTCCACCAATCGACATGCGATGAATTTTTTTGTCAATTTCCATGCCTCTTTCGGGTTGTCTGCCGGCATTTTAGCCACGAGAAAAATGTCTGTCAACAGTTTTACACGTTTCTTAATAATAAATAAAAACTATTTTCGCAATTATAACACGTGTATCTTATAATATTTTTAATGCCAAAATTTCACCCTTTCGATTGGCCGCCCCCATTTTAAGCCCCGGGATCGCGCTGGCAGGCATGACTGTTTCATAATGGAAACACAAAAGGATACTTCACACAAAAAATTAGCCATGTAACGATGATAAGGTTTTTTATGTAGCCAGCTCTCCGTCTATCACGTTTGATAGTCAATTTCAAAAGTTTTAAACCACAAAATGAGTTTTCATGATTCACCACACAAAGATTAAACAAATTATGGGGATGATATGTTAACAATTATTGTAAAATGTTCCTAACAAGAAAACTGACTGAATATAAGTTTTCAGTAGTTTTATTTGAATGTCTCATTTTTACCTCACTTGAACCTATTTTTAAAAACTTACTGTTAAATTTATAGGTGCAGCCATGTGATCTAGACCAGTGATTAAAGTCCTCATAATGTATGGGTTGATTTTCGTTTCTTGAACGTTTCCGTTTTCCTCCAGCAATGTAACAGCAAAATGATACGTTGTACAATACTCTAAATCTTCAATGAGCATACTTTGATTGGATGTTGTTAACTTAGGAACTGAAAAATTAAAAAAATAGGCTAATTTTATATGGAATAGCATTTTTTACATATTACGTTCAATGTTGCCTACCGGATAGACTATAGGTATATTATGGAATACACTATATAAATACAATACGATCGAAAAAAATGGCATCAAAGACGTCTGGGAAATGACAATTTTATTGATAATTTTAGCGAGGTCAAGCCCAAGAAGTCATTTACTTTTCCTGTACTCTTCTTTATTCTTTAATGGCCAGTTGACCTGCAGAAGGTTGTAATTTATTTTCATATTAAATAAACGCAATTTTTAAATGGCGCAGATTAAAAATCGAAAAAAAATTTTTTTTGGAAATAGATTTGTATCTGGAAACGTTCTATCTTTTTTTAATTTTTCTATAGTTAGTGGTAAGTCTTATGTCGATTTTTAGTAAATGATGCCTAGAGATTGACCACGCAAAATTATAATCGATTGTCATTCTATGTAGGTATGTATCTGTACCTACAGTATTTTATAGTCTAGGATTTTTTTCTGTTTTAAAAGTTTAAAAATTCCGAATATTGCTAAAGATTAAAAAAAACCGAATATATACTACTGAAGATTTTGAAAAAGAAACATATATTCTCTATTGCATTTTTTTTTGAATTAACAGTTGAATCAATGGATCTCTACGTACACGTCATCCTTTGATGTCATCTATTTTCATCCGCAATCAATCAGTTGTCAAACCGCCACTAGTGCCTGTGACATTTAATTTCATACTTAAAATAAATACTATAGTTTATACGCACACAAAGAGCCATTGATTCAACTATATATATAACAAAATAAAGTTTACATTCTCATAGCTACTTATTTTGTTCTTACAAGGTAATGTTACCAAATTTTCAAACCGACGCGATGTTTCGTAATTGAGTTTTCACCATAACTTTTTTTAAATAAGACCTTAGATTTTTATTACGAATTTTAAGAAATTCTAATAGCCCAAAACTAAAGTTATATCAAAATTTCCTGATCAAAATGCTACTTGAAAATATAGATAGATATTCCAATGCGATAACGATTAGAATGGCCAATGACAGAAACAGTACTGTGAGAATTTTCAGGTCAAGGGCTTGGAACAACTTCAAACAAAAAATTCTGCTCCTCAAACTCCCAGTGGATGACATACCAAGAATGTACAACTTTGAGAAACACCACACTGTAGTATTGATTAATAAAAAGAATTGGAAGAGAGAAACCTTTGCTCAGCCTGTAAAATACCACACCATAACAAAAAAAATAAAAACACCGAACCAACCTACCCCAGCATCCTTCAGGCAGAAATCTACGCTATCGAAAGATGCGTACAATTTATCTTAGATAGGAACTATCGAAAACAGGAAATAACCATATTATCCGATAGTCAAGCGGCACTAAAAGCGATCAACTCAGTAATCAGTAACCATCAATTCGAAGTTAGAATGCCTAAAGAAGCTGAAAAATTAGGCAAAGAAAATAAAGTCCTCCTACTCTGAGTGCCCGCTTACCAAGGGATAGAAAGCAGTGAAAAAGCTAACGATCTATAGCTAGAAAAGGAGCGAACATTCCACTAACTAGACCAGAACCGTTCTGCTTTCCAAGCAGAAACCAACATGAAGCGGAGAACTCATGAACCTAGAAAACTCCATCCGTAATCTAAAATGGGAATCCTCCAACGGTCTAAGATGCTAGAAAAAGTTTTTGCGACCTTACGACAGAGAAAAATCAAAGATTTTCCTTGATTTAAGTAAGAACAATCTTCGGATTGTCACGAGGTTTCTAACAGGATAATCATCAACGAACACCTAAGTAGATTGAAGTTGAGAAACAACGGCCAATGCAGACTGTGGGTGTGCTGTTCTGTGGTGAAAATATGGAAATATCAGAACATCTTATTACTGAGTGCGCTGAGAAATTTTAGTACGGCTGATGTTGGAGATAGAGAGTTGGCTTCTGTGGAGCCGTCTGAGGTACTGGCTTTTGTCCACCTGAGAGCCCTGAGACTGTATGATGAATTATAACTCGTTATAACTCAAGAAAGGGAATACGCAATAGGGTCTATAATCTATAAGGTATCGGTGATTAACCCCCCTCCTGAACATTCTACCTCAAAAGATAGGATCGAAATCTGTCAGCTCTCTCTAAGACATGATTACAAAAAATGCTATTAATATGAAATTTTCGAATAACGACACATCATTGGTTTTGGGTAGGGTTTCACGAGATTCTCGAAATTCGAGATTTTTAGAGATCGAGAAATTTTTTCGAGATTTCTCGATCTCGACAAACTTTAGATGCTGCAATAATTCAACAGCTCATAAAAGGCTAGAAAAATGGAAATAAAAAACTATGTTAGGAAATGATTTTAATTCATTTTAAACAGAAGAAAATTAACAAAGCAAAAGTAACATAACAAAGGTAAACACAAATAGTTTCATATTTTTAAAGGAAAAAAAGACTCTTAAACTAAAACGCAAATAATAAATTCGAAACATTTAGAAATGAACAAAACATAAGAAAACGTTAATAAAGAAATGCCGTAAATATAATATTCTTGTTCTTATGGCACCATTTTTGTATAAATTTCACTCGATTTCACTATTAACTACTATTGAGTTAAACGAATTTAAGTAATGTCGAAGAAAAAAAGTTTTTCAATAAAAGACTGTTTCGGGTAAACAAAAATCAGTTTGTTGCACAACGAAGTAAATATTTTAAACTTTCGTAGGTAGCTATGTAAATTTTAAACCCATATGGGGATAAAAGACTAAATTAAAAAATAAAGGAATCGTTTTGATTTTCGCTTTTTAAAACAATATATTTTTATTTTCGGGATTTTGGTTGTAGTTTAGTAGTTTAGTCTGCGTTTTTTTTTTGTTACACATGGCTTTTAGTTCTTTCAATACCTATAATAGCTCTGTATTTTATAACGTAATTTTTGAACAGAAAAAATTTACCCTATCTTTTGGTGCAGACTTTATAACATGATATTTTTTAATAATAATAAATCAGTTATTTATTTTCGAGACTCTCGAAATTTCGAGAATCTCGAATCGAGATCGAGAAACTGACTTCGAGAAAAACATCGAGATGAGAGTTTGTTAATATATCGTCTCGATGATGGAGATGAGACGAGAAATCTCGTCTCGATGAAACCCTAGTTTTGGGACCGTCAAAGCTTTTAAAATCCGTACTAAAAAATCAAGGCCATATCTAAAAAAGGAACGTTAAAAATGACAGTTTAAAGACGAAACCACCGTCTGATGATGTGATATCACCATCTTATAAAACTTGTTTTATTTCTATCTATTTAAATAGTCTAAACGAAGAAGAGTAGCAAAACTCTTTGAAAGTATTCAACATTTTTAAACTTAACGTGGGATTTCGATCAGCATAAAACCTTAACTCAATTTCATTTAATTGATCTCGTATATCTTTTATTTTATGAGATCCAAACGATGAGGCCCCAATTTGGAACACCCTGTACATTTAATATATGAGATTCCTAAAAAAACGTCGTACAAATACCGAAATATGTGGAAAAATTATTAAATCTGTTAAAAGCCCAAGGGAATTTTAATTTTGACTTTAAATTTTTATCGATGTGTGGCAGTAAAAAAAAGTGAAAAAGAAAAATCGGAAAAACGATTGTGAAAGATGCCTGTAATTCTGATTTTCCTCCTGCTTTGATTGGGAAGTGGGAAAATTCAATTTCGTTCATGTTTTTTAAGGAAATATTATGTAGATTTGACGGAGCATAAAATATGTAAATTGTTTCTTTTATAGCTGGCTTTTGTATTAAGGTTTTCGTGACATAATGTGGTCGTTCACGGCTGATGTTATATGCGAATAGTTTTTGAATTTTTATTCTTTTTTTTGTTTTATATTTTCTTTTGATTAGTTTCCGTTCTCCATAAAATATTTTTTGTGTATAAAGAGACTGATAGAATTCGAAATAAATTAGTTAAGTAATATTTTTGTATATGGGGTGTTTCTCAAAAGTGGCTCACACCTATAACTTTTATATAGGGTGTCATTGAAATGGTGTAAAAAAAGTGGGGGGTGATAGTACTCCTAAAAATAGTAAAAAAAAGTTCCTATATAAGTATAGGACGGAAAATGCATATTAAGGGAGTTAGGGCACTGAAAAGGTGAATTTAAAAAACGGTTGTTTTGAAATTGTAGGCTTAAAAATAAAGTCTGCCATAAATTTTGACCCTAAATCAAATGGTGATACTGAAAAATTATTTGGAAAAGCGGAAAGGGTAGTTTTTGCAAGGGTAGGGGGTTATTTCGTGAATAACTTTTTTGAGGTTATTTTTTTGCTATGTGGGTTCATTTTTTAAAAACTACATACTTTTTCCTACAAAAAAGGTACTCTTGTTGCACATCGCCAAGAGCGATGGTTTTCGAGAAAATTGAAAACAGAGATTGCTCTGATGGGTTGCTAACTGGTTAATCAACCTAAACTTTTGAAAGTTATGGCGGTTCAAAAGTAACCAAGTAGTTATTAAATAATGAATTGGAAAATCAAAATTTCATGATTTTTAAAACATCTTATTGCATTAAAAACAAAATAAACTTTTTTGGTTTTAAAAAAATTGGTTTGCTCAGTGCCGATTAATACTGAAAAGCAAATACGGCAACGCATTATTGATTGTTCCAATCAAATTCGGACAACACCAAGGATATTCCACAGGGTATCTACGCAGATCGTGGAGAAGAAGATCAGATGTCTACATTGAAATGAATCGTGGTCACTTTGGACATTTACTATGAATGAATTAAGGAATGCATTATTTTAATAAGGAATTTTGGTAATTGGATTATTTTGTTTTTTAAAGCAATAAGATGTTTTAAAAATCATGAAATTTTGGTTTTTCGGTTAATTATTTGATAACTACTTGGTTACTTTTGAACCGCCATAACTTTCATAAGTTTATGTTGATTAACCAGTTAGCAACACATCAGAGCAAACTCTTTGTCTTCAATTTTC